GTATCCCCAGAGTTTGAAGAAGCGACGCGGGCTGTGAAAACACGGATAGGAATTGTATCGCCGAGGCGAAGGATAGAGAGAGGGACAACTTCGAGCGCAGGGGGTAGTATTTCAACCGAATCAGAGGAGGTCTCAGAGTCTGAAAAGAAAATCAAAACAAAGACAAAAAAGAGCAATATCAAAAAGAAGCCGCCGCAAGGAAGAAAGAGGGGAGAAGAAAGATTAGGGTTTTCGGAGAAAGCAATCCAAAAACCAGGAGAAGAATTTGAGAGGTATGGGGACGGAAGTTTCAAAAATTTTCAGAGGAGAAACAAAACCCACAACATCCAATAGCCAGACGAAAGTATTCAAAGTACAAATTCAACACAAGACACGCCAATTCAAAATAACTCAGCAGACAGATCGAGAGTACCTAATATTGAAAATCCAGGAACGCACAAAATAGTACTACAAAAAGCACAAATTCAAGTGTGGAGAGACTTACTCATAACCGGAGGTCAACAATTGAGAGAAGTTCGGAAGAGCACAGGATAAATCGCCGAGGAAACAAGGATTTTTGCAGAGAAAGTCTGGATACAGAGAAAGGCAAAATTGGCAAGGGTGGAAAAAAGCTAAAAAATACGCTAAGTATGGAATTTATACCTAGGAAGATTAAAAGGCTGAAAGATGAGGACCGTTGGATTAAAGCCGGATCGTACGGTGGGAGGCATTAATTGGCACAGCACTCAAGGAAGGCGCGTCATACGAAGAGGTATCATCATTAAAGCGCCTGACACATGCGGCAGACGCGACGCGTGGCAGAAGCAGGCCTGACAGAAAGGACTTGAAACAAACGACTTTATTGCTAGCAATTAAGGGGAAATTATTTGAAAACGTTAGCGGGAAACCTATGGGCTGGTCGATATTGGATGACGAACCATCAAGGAGGTCGATAAATACCAATTCACTCTTAGACCGAGTCATCTAGACTCGACCAGAGTGGGGGGACTAGATGATATAGGATATTATATACTCAAGGATAAACCGGCCTACTTGGCCGGTCGAAAAGGCTAAACTGAGGGGAAGCCAAGCCAAAAGGGCGGGAAGATCGAATATTCAGATAGTCGACCAGACGCATTGACCAGACGCATGATCGAGCAAACTACTCGACCTCGACAGGTCGATCGCTTCGAGGAACCAACAGTCGGCCTAGTTGTGGGCGCGTGTATCACAGGCGCGCGTAAGAGCCTCTAACTGAAATCTCCAGAGAATATTTACCCCATGTGCTGGGGGAACGCGTGTCGACAATGTATTGGGTGATGGTGATAACTACCTCTGACAACTCCCAACGCCCTGCGCCACCTCTGACATGTGCGCGGCATGTCAGAGTACGGACGGGCAGCTTGGGCAGCCAGCTCACCTTATCCGGGCAGCCATTAGGGCAGGTATCTCACCCTTATATAAAAGGGGGTGAGCCTTTCTCCCTAAATACATTTTATTCATTCTCTCAACTCCAGTATACTCATACACATACTGACTTAAGCATCGGAGGCTCTTCACCGGACACAACCCCCGGTGTGAGAGTTATTTTGCAGGTTTCCGGCGTTCTACCGGCGAGGACAAGAACTGATTTACTCCAAACCGGATCAGGACGCTCACACTTGAATTAGAAGCTTAGTTGCACACAATTCACCCACAATAACAAGAAACCTCTTAATAAGAGAATAGTCTACTCCCAACAGGAGAATCGATACCTAAACAACCACAAAACACAAGATACAAGAAACACTCAAAACCTAAAACTACCAATACTAAGGTAAAGCCCCCCTCACCAATCGGACCACCACTTCGCACCAACGGCATGCGAAGACCAAAGCTCGAATCTGGAAACTCCCTTCAGAACTGATGACTAACTAAAAACTAGACCACAATCTGCTCACCCTCTCAAAGGAAGCTCCTTCGGGACCACTAAGAAGAGAAACATTGACGTCGACCCCAGACAATCCGGCGACTGCTGCTAGCCGATCGGATCCGAGAAGAGCACCCGCTGGAGGAATCAATCACGCCAACCGTAGACGCAACGAGAGCGAGGGAGGGGAGGGGGAAACACACACAGCGGATCGAACACCACAAAGACGATGATCGACACCGCCAGATGGAGCGGTTGACGACAACCGCAACCCGCTCCACTGCCCGCCATGGCCGCCCGAAACACCATGGGAAAAATGCCACGCGCGAAAGAAAGAGCCACATAGTCGCCATAAGACCACCTCTCGTCTTGGTACTGGTCGAAATTGGTCGGGTGCTGTGAGAAGGCTCGCCAATTTACCGAAAGAAAAAGCGAGAGTTTGATACGCAGATAGGGGATTTTTTTTTTGGGACTGCTTTTTTGGTTTTTCCTAGTTGGCATACTGCAAGTTTTCGTTGTTTACTCTTAATACATGGTCCGTGCATTGTACACAAAAATAATACTACAATTTCATTATAAATTAAATAATGAATAACATTAACCATGATTTACCTATTGTTTTCAAAATCTAATCGGGTCGGACAGTCTAATCGGATGGACCGAAAACCAGTTTATCGACCCATACAGTTCGTTTGAATAAAATGTATTTTAACAAACCGGTTAGCACGAAACGGTCGGACTGGTATGTGAATTTTTAAATAAATTTTGTAATATTTAAAATTATTTTTAATATAAACAAAAAACACATTTTAAATAAAATGGAGAAATAAAATTGTTTTATCAATTAGTTTAAACAATTCAAAATTTTAAGCTATTCAGATGTTTACTTAATAATTTTTGCATCATTTTAATATTATTTTAAATAACTTTATTACAAAAACTTATATGTATATATATATATATATAT